AACCTGACTAGTTGGTTGAAGATTTTATCTAGACTAAGGAAACCAGGAATTGCCACTCAAAAATATAAAAAAAATCAAATCAGCAAGTTTAAATTTACGAAAATCAGCCTCAACAGTGTCGATAGATGAGGGGGGAGGGGCGATTTGGGGAGTTTACTCTAGTATAGGGTAGCAAAATTCAGCTGAACTAGCTCTGGTATAGGCTAAGGGCTCCAGGGTTCCAGCGGCACATCCCCACCCAGAAATTCCCAAAGTACCTCCCCCGGGGGAAAAGCGAACCCCCAATCTAAAGAGGAAAGTTGTTCTGTTAAAAAGCAGGCAGAACCTTGCATGAATCTTTGGAAAATGTTGAATTAATTCGTCACTAAGTAAGGAGGTTATAAATGTTATTACAAATATCATATTATTTTTCCCACTATGGACAATTAGACAGCGCAGTAAAAAACCTACATACCCTCTGTTTAGGTACAATTATTTTTCTCGTTTTCTATCGTGCTATATGAAAATATGTTTAACGAGATGCTCGTTACGCGCGAAAAGACTGCAATCAACACAAATCAATTTGGACCCTTAGGTGCTAACAACACAAGATAAATTCACTGGCCCAGCGGTTTAAAAATTGATGCAGACCCGTAGAACAAATTTGAAAGTATATAGGGGGTACCAAGTTAGTAACTCCCAAGGGAAATACGGTGACATCTTAAAGTTAATTTTGGAATGTTTTGTGTCCCACAACGAACAATTTTGTTGTGAGATCCAAGGTATTTAACTTTGTATCTGCTTTTTTCCACCTGGTAGGCAATTCTTCGTGTCTTCATAGTACTCTTTATGACTTTGAGGATCCAAACCAGAAAAGCTGCTTTCACCCAATTCCAAAATCACCGGGAGCTGTGGACCAGTCCACTGACATCGAAACTGTAAAGTACGGGAAGAATTCGCTCATGTGGAAAGCGGACAATGTGTCAAAGCTGCAGTTACAGGCTTCAACATTCACGATTCCTAACGACTGGCTTAAACGCGGCGGCGTAAAAGTCTGGATCTACAAGAGGGAAAGTTCTCCTGGAAAAACGTTACAAGTGGAGTACGAACATTCGTCCAAAATCGTCGGCAGGTTCAAAGCCAATCTTACTTTCCAAGGATGGCGAGGAATTTGGGTGAAATTTTCAGAATGCAAGGTGTCACGTAGGAGTGTAACAAAAAGCACTGTTATCGACAAAGTAAATTTTGTACTAAGCGACGCCGACACCATCTACATAGACTTGCTCGAGTTTCAGAAAAGCTTTGCTAAACAGTCACGTGACAAAGTAGTTCCTCCAATCAGTCCACTTGGCTTAGCAGTGTATGACGCGAGTAATACTTTTCAGCGAACTCAAAAGTGGAGTAAAGAACCAATTCCTTCGTCACCCTTGGCAGTTGACGAAAAAAAGAACAAGAGCTTGGAACATATCGAAAGCCGGCTCAGAAACTGGTATTGCGACGAGACTAAAACAACTTCAAGCTTCTCAAAAGGAAGCTTCCTGAAGAAAAGGTGGAATTCCCTTTTAAGCAGTGTTAATAAGGCGCATAAAGAATACGACAACTTAATTTTTGACGGAGGAAAAATCGTTGGACCACCTTTGTTTTGCAGAAACTGCAGATATGGGGAATATAGCAAAACGGATAAGACGAGAAAGTATGGTTTTATTATGGAAACTATTCTTCTACCGCTGGCGTTGGAATATTATCTAAGATCGCGTGCAAATGAAGTAGCAGATGCTGCTGCAGGCCAACTAGCCGAGCTTAACTCTGGGGACCCGGATAGGATGAACGATGCGCACATTGCTATCGCAGGTGAAGATAAAAACATGCAAACGATATTTAAAAGGTACCTGCCCAGCTCGAAAACGTGGACGCTAAGTCAAGTTGAAACCGCAATAAACACGTTAAACCTTGATCGACTAAACAAGATAAACAATCTCCTGGAATATGTAAAGCAACAAGGATTTGCAGATGGCAGTGGCCTCGGATCACTTGATCATGAAATGAACAGGGACGGCGCTGGATTCATGCACGCTCTGTTTCTTATTAGTGACTCTCTGAGAGTTCCTTCCAACAAAAGCAGATTGCTGGATCTGATAAACACAGCCAAATGGTATAACGAATTTGGAGAAATTTATCAATCGCCGACATTCGAATTCAAGGGAACTACTGCAGACCGCATGATTCAACTGCCGCTGTACAGACTGATGATCGTGCTGCTTATGCCAAGTGATGATGAAGATGAAGTAAAAGCTAAAATCCGTGACATGGACGCTTTAGTAAACTGGATAGAGAATGCTTTGACTGTGAATGAAGGTCTTGGAGGAGTCTTAAAGCCTGACTTCACAGGATTTCACCATAAAGCGTTTTATGCCTCAGCTTATGTTCCGCAAGCCTTACACGAGGCAGCAATGATTCAATACCTTCTTGGAGGAACTGAATTTGCTTTATCACAATCATCAATCAACAACATCAGAAGAGGACTGGAGACTTTGCGCCTTATAGCTCTCAAGTATTCAACTCCAAACAGTGTCAATGGACGTTTCCCACATTACTTTAACAAGGCACTCATCAAGGCTGTATTACCAGGCTATGCTTACATTGCTGTTTCCCATCCTTCAAGTTTACCTTCCACGATACCAAAAGGGATCGAAGTGAGCGATGTGAAAGAGCCGCAAATGTTTTTGCGGTTATATAACGACTCTTCTATTAACGATTATTTAGAAGATGGACAATCAGATAAGGGCAAGTACTATCCAAACAGTTTGGGATCTCTGGACCTTATGGAGAAAGTGAGTACATTATCATTCTTACTTATTTGAATTGAGCTAATTCTCTCAGCAGTCGTAGCGTTCATCCTTGGCTATCAAGTTACAGTATAGAGCTTGAAGAAAGAATGTACCTCGATCTAACTTTCCAACAAAGCATGTTATCCTTACAAACTACTCAGTTATACCACCGAGCATTTTGTCAGGCAAAGGAAAACGTTAACACATAAGTATGATTTCAATACAATTTGGAAACATTTCAAATTGAGTATGAGCTGCCTCTATACAAAGGTTGTTTGCTCCCATCCTTTGTGGATAATAATAATAATAATAATAATAATAATAATAATAATAATAATAATAATTACGTTTCTATAGCGCTATAATTGTAACAGATTTCTTTATCAACATGATATTCGGATATCCCGCATCAGTAGCATCATCGAAAATTATGGGACAAAGGTTTCTGGAATCTTATGAAACGTTTTTTGTTATATTGGTAGGTAAACTCCACTGCTGCGTCTCTAGGCATATCTGCTGAAAAATCCCCTGAAGGGCACTGGTCCAAGAATTTTGCCGCTTTATCCGTCCATCGACGAAAGGACTGGGCTGTAACAGTCAAAGGCTTTAACCGTTTCCTCTGGGACTATGAAAGTTCATCCCGCGAAAATATTTACGGATTATTCGCCAGTCATGGTGCGCTTCTGGTTGCAAACAGTGAAAGAGATCTTGAGGTGCATGACGTTAAACATGGATGGGATTGGGCCAAAGTCCCTGGGGCAACGATCATTGCGATGGCGACTAAAAGTCTAGATGACTTAGACATGGGAGGAAAAGGAAGGTTCTACAACCCACGGTCTCTAGCCGGAGGACTCACGTTTAAGGGTTCCAGAGACTTGGAAAATGGCTTGTTTGGCATGGACTTTAGACAACCGCAGTATGGATTGAAAGACTGGAGAAAAAAGATAATATTCGAGTTTAAGAAGTCAGTTTTCTTCTTTGAAAACTTGCTGGTGTGTTTAGGTAGTAACATTCTCGCAGAAGAGACTAAGGGGAATGTTGTTCAAACAACCCTTTTCCAAGACAAGCTTGTCGATGGAGTAAATTCCTCACTTATTAAGGTTGATGGGGTTCCCAGGAGGTACTCACCAACATTCTCCGCCATGACACCGTCGTTGTTAGACAGAAATCATACAACTCTCACTGATGCCAAAGGAAACCATTACTACATACCAAAATCCAGCAGATCAATGTTAAAAGTTCATGTTGAAAACCAGATCTCTAAGACAGATAATGGGAAACGTAAAACATCTGGGCGTTATGGTACGGCGTGGTTTGAACATGACAAGTCTCATCCAGACTACGAATATGCTGTCTTAATACCGACCATATCGAATGATTCACAACTGGCAGATGACATATCAACGGCCCAAGAAACCGTGGGTAGTGAAATTTACAAAGTCTTGAAGAGAGATTCGACTGCCCATGTGGTCCAGTTTCTTCCTTCAAAGCAGCTGGCAGGGTCAGACCTCAACTTTCCTCTCACAGGTTATGTGATGTTTGCAGCAGCAAAGTCACTTCCATTGGATGGTCCAGTAGAAGCAGTAAATGAAGATAATTGTCTTGTCATGGCCGAGGAAACTGAGGACGCCATATACCTCAGTATTTGCTCGCCAGACTTGAATTTCAACACGAAATCAGGTCCTCTACATGGCTCCAATGACGTGGGAGTAGAGTTGCTTTACCAGTCATCGAGTCAAGAAAGAGAAATAGACGTGACGCTTAAAAAAACAGTGGAGACGACAACTAACGATGTTAAAGTCCACGGTAAACCAGATGCCTACGACGCCATCGTAAAGGTCGATGATCACGGCAAAATCGTTCGTTTTCTGAATCTCAAAAATGGCTTTAGTGTTGAAGTGAAATTGAAGAAGAAGAATAACATTGTCTCGTAGGTAATCTACTACAGCTTAAAACCAATCTCAATCATTCAATCAATCAATCAATCAATGAATTTATGCATTTACATTGGTCTGTACAAGGACTTAACCTATGAAAAACGGTGTAAAAGCGCATGATGATCTTAAAAATGCAGATTGTGTAGACATAACGAACATTTGCATACTTTATTTTAGAGTGGGAATTGAATACTACTAGTTAAAACAAATTCTAAAATGTCAATGCAAATACAAATTACAATGCAGATATAATCCTTTTTCATTCGATGTTTGTATGATCATTAATGAAAAAATAAAAACTGTTATCGATTCACTTGCACTCGTTTGATAGTTTCTTTGCTGTGCTCTTCTCTTGATCATAAAAATTGATTTCACCCTCCAGCTCTAATCCCTCGCGGGCATGTGGGTAAAAAAAAACTACCCCTCTTGGATTTTGATGCTCTTCTTCGTAACCTAAATGGTTTCTTTTGGACATCTCATTCACGACCCAGCTACTCTCTATACAAGTTAAATAGTTCCATTCAATCATTCATCGCCTAAAATTGCTCAACTATGTAGCTTCTTTTTCCGTATGATAAATATGACAAAAAGACTTCTAGCTGAATTAAATAGACGGATAACGTACCTTAATAAATTATGTAAGCTGGGAAAATACATAACTCAAATATCACGCTATACTGATATATGTGATATCAAGTGCTCACTTGAATCAGATAAGACCATCTCCGCCAATTTCGTCCGTGATAAATAGGTACAGTTTGTTGATGAGACACTCGGCAACCCCCTGCATCTTTCAGTAACAAAGTTTATGATGAAAAAGAGCTATTAGATTGGAATTTGCTTACAAATATCAATGGGAAAGTGGAAATATCACAAGCGAAAGCTTCAGTTTATTACTCGAGATCTTAAGGGATGACTCGAAAACGAGATTCTCTCGCGCTCGATGAACTGAGAAAGGAAAAGGAAAAAAATACTTATGATCTCGATCTGCATGTTGGGATATTGCATGTACCAATGCGGCGGAAAGTCAGGTCATGGAGACTCAGATTCTGTGATCAGTACTGCAATTGAATGAGTTTGACTTATTACATTTTCTCTGGGCACACGTCTGTACACACATACCCCGCCGAGTCTGGTGGAAGTTTGTTGCTTCAGTATAGTACAAGACCTTTTTCGTTACTAGTCTTGGCACAATGTAACCATCTTGAGTAAATAAGTTTTATTTGTGTGATGCTAGCAGTTAGTAGTTAAAGGATTTACGAAAAGCATGAAACGATGTCGTTAATTGCAGCACTCTTTTAAACAAGGACTGTACTAATTTTATTTTGTTTAAGGATAGCTGTGGGAAATAGCATGGGTACTTGATACATGTATGCCTGTTTTCGTGTAATAAATATAATAGGGTTAAAAGTATTGTCTTGCAAACCTGCATAGTACAATGAAGCCAAGTGATGAACAATGAAGCCAACGAACGAGCTAGTGGAAAGACGCCAAAAAACATAAGTAATGCACGCTCATAGGCGCGCCAACAAAAATAATTTACTCAGGTGGGATAACTTGGGGAGAAGACATATATGGGGCCAGTTAACTCTGTTCTGCAGGCGCTGGGGTTATATGCTAATCATGTCTTCCGTTTTGGCTCCCTGTTGACTAATTATTGCTTTCTTTCGGGGGTTGAAAGGAAATAAAGTTTGTCTGAGCTAAAAATATTTTTTTGGTGTTGGATACGGAAAATCTGAGATATTTCCGTGGTTATTAGGCTTAATTCATTGTGTTATTTGCGGCTGTCCGCCATTTTTTTCACTCATTATTCCCTACATTATTGCGTGTATGACCTTTCAGTATTTGAACAGATTCTGCCAATATGCTCAAAACTAACTGTGAGTGTCCGAAGTGACATTCAGTTTTAATTACTTTGTCCTCATTCGACGTGACCACTGGTTATCACTGTCAGTAATTCATTATTGAGTTGTCTTCTTCCAGCTTAAATCGTTTTGTTTATCATGGCGCTCTTTAAGCTCTTTATTTTGCGGTATCCATTAGCGTTATTGCCAATCCCTTAACCTAATAAGCTCAAGCAACCATAATAAGGGAACACAGTTATGTTTAACAACGACAGCATGTTAAGAAGCCCCTGTATTTTTTTTTTTTTTTTTTACAATTAAAGTCAAAACAATTTCGCCCCCTTCTGAAGTTCGTCATATTAAGCGGATAGCCTGACAATGGCCAATTGAACGTTTCTCCAAAGTAAAACTAGATAAAAGAATTTTCATACCAGCAATAACAAGGCCACCAGTGCGATTTTAACTCTGAGATAAAGGTCCTTATTGCATACAGGTTTGACTGGAAACCTAAATGAATCGCAAAGGATCATCAACTGCCATCTTGATGTTAGCAAATATTTTCTTATTTTTCATCAAGATCTCCAATTTTCTTGCTAAGATGCGTTAAAACGGAGAGCGTAAAGGAAACACAGGAAACTCTAATAATGGGAGCTTTATTTTTAATAATGTAGATGTTCTGTAATTTTGACGTTGTTTCCTGTGCTCAATAAGTTTTGCTATTATAAAAACCATCTGTTCCTTGGCACCATCCGTTTTGTAGCTGCAGTGAGGAAAGGACTGATGTCCACAGGCGACCAGTTGCACCACCAGAAGTAAGGCCTTCTAAGGCTTGAATGATAGCGAAAGTAAGTATTTGTCAAACGCTGTTAAAAGATCAGTGTAAGTTATACTGGAATTTAAAAAAAATGCACAATACAGACATGACGACGTTAAATTTTTCTTCGTGTCAGAGGCAACAAAAATAGCTATTTTATTATCTTATCTGTAGTTTTTTAACTTCGATGTGGGCCATTCAAAAATATATTCTTCTTTAGGGCAGAGACATCAACTAAATAGCAATTTTATCATTTTACTTGTATAGTCTTTTAATTTCGGTGTGGGACATTGGAAAAGAGAAAAGAGTTAATACTCCTAAGTATTTCAACAAGATTTTTAAGCCTTGAAGTTCTCTCGCCTTAAATTGGGATGTAATACGGTTCAAATTGTCCATGAGTGATAGAGATATTCTGCGTTTTAGAGAAATTGCTATTGCTATTGACGTTCCTTACGTTTTTTGCATACATGCTGCAAAAAATGGAATTCGAAGCCTGGAACAAAGTTTTCTTTCTTACAGGATCTCTTTAGAGTGTAGAATGGTCGTAATTTTGTATGCAGCTAGTGTGTGTGAAAAAAGAAAAAAAATTAGAAAAGGATTGGAAAACTATGGGTTAACTACTATATTGTCCGGGAGCGCTTTTGAATGACAGAGGCTTTTTGTAAAGAATTGAATGATATTTTTACACAAGTTTCTCGATGTCGGATTCGGTTAATTACCAAGAACAGTTTCCATTTCACGTCTTGCAGGATTGCAAATGAAAAAATGCGTCCGAATTTTGGATCTGCTCATATCGAGAAACCTCAAAGGAATATTTCTTTTACTTTTCATTTATTTTCTCAGGTGTCCGCGCTACTTTTCCAATAGGACGATATCAAGCGTTTATATATTAAATGCAAATTATCTGTTATTGAATTTCTAACTTTTCTATTGATTTTGGGGTTATCTTGTCCGCTCTTAACAAACAGCTGACCTTATTTGTATTAATTTGGTGTATTAACGATGCTGTAAATTTTGTTCTTCCTAAAACGAAATTTCTCAAAATTTGGTTAATTAACGGCCGGAGTATCCACCCGTTAGAAAAAGGAACAAATGTCGTCATTAACTCCAGTAAGTAATACGCAAGGATTGGTACGAAATAGTTAACTGCCGACAGCGAATATCAGTAAAGCTTCGTCTACATACATAATTGTTCTGAGTTCAATTTCAAGTTTCTACGCGGTTAATTTTCTAGTTATCGGGGCAATAGACAAGTATATGTCACACCTGCCTCCATTTCACTTGTGAACTGAGATAATTAACTGTCATAACTGCATGGCGTGCAATCAATTAAGAGAGTTGTTTTTATCACTGTGCATGGTAATTTTCAGGCAGTTTAAAACATTCCTAGCTCAGCCTATTTCGGTTAGTTTTAACATTTTGAAATTGCCAATTTGACCCAATTGTTAAAATCTTGATTGGTTAAAAACTTGCAAACAAGAATTTTCTAAATTTCAGGAAAAAAATTTTCCTCAAAATTTTTATTCACTTCACGCAGTCAACACTCCACCGATTTAATTTGCCGCTTTTTCATCTAGTCGTTTCCTTTAGATCAAACTTAAAGTCCTTTTTGTAAATTTGATTCAGATAATATGAAAAATATCGGCATATATGAAAACATCAATGTTAAAATATTGTTTAGAGAAAGCACCGATGTACGGAAATGATGCAGTTATGTTCTAATAGCTAGTTAAGCACCAAAGAGACTGTTTATTTAGTTCTTTATCGTGAATGTTAGTTGGAATATTTTCTATTCAACACTTCGTTGTCGGCTTGTTGAAACATTCTTTGTTGTTGATAAAGACAACTTTTGACAACTCTTGTCTCAGTTGGATTTTTTCTTGTCTCTTAGGTAGCAAATATGTCCAACAACAGCAACCTGTCCTATACCCAAGGTATTGATCTTTCAACATATTACTTTCTCCCTTCTCCACAAACATGGGCCGTGATAACATGGAGTGTGTTACTCGGAGTCATCGGAATAGTAGCGCTTGTCACAAACGTACTGACCATAGCCGCCTTCACCCAAAAGAGGCTCAGACGACCTCCTCATTACTTACTTATCTCACTGGCTTGTGCTGATTTCATGGTTGCATCCATATCAGTACCGTTATATATCTGTATCACCCTGGGAGTTACCAAGTTAACATTGCGATCAAGAGCTGCAATCTGGTTTTTTGATTTCCTATCAGGGATGGCGTCAATATTCACTTTGGCAAGTGTCTCACTCGAACGGCTCTTTGCCATGGGATGGCCTCTTCGTCACAGAGTTATTCCACCGATAACATACGCTGTTTTCGTTACAGTACCTTGGGTTCTTGCATTGATAGTGGCATCTTTGCCCTTGTTTGACATGTTCCGGTTATTGCCACACCTTTTCATGTTTCAAGTGATACTAGCATCTTGTTCCTTTCCAATTGTAGTGACTATCATAGCCTACATAACGCTTTGGTTTAAGGTAAAAACAAGCGACCCATCTGGACACGAAAGAAGCAGAGAAAAGGACAAGCGACTAGCGATCACACTTGTTATCGCCTCTTTCATTTTTCCATTTACCTGGTTGCCTTATACAATTGTGTTAAGCATTATAAACCTCTGCATGAAGTGTGTTTTTTCGAATGTTAAGCTTTTCAATGGTCTTTCTATGATATGCATGTTTATGCACCTCGCTAATTCTTTTCTGAATCCACTTGTGTATATTTTAAGAATTCCTGAATTTCGTGGAGCTATTCGAGAGCTCATCTGTCGCAATCGTCCATTCCGACGAGTTGGCGTTACACCATTGGCTAATACAAGGGCAAGAAATCAAGCCAATCAAGCACCATCTCTTGCTGGTAGCCATGGTAACTAGAAAATATAGTGTAAAAGTAAGCTTTAGTTCAAGTGTAAGGGTACATAAAAGAACCTTAGACCTTAGACCATCGCCAGCGTTTTCTCTGGCCAACATATTTTTAAGTTCGCCAAAAGAGCCAGGATGCAGAATAAAAGAGATAATCCTCCATGGAAGACTTACTCCCAAAGTAAATGTATTTCTTTTAGGTGTTAAATAAGGTTGTTTTGTCTTGTTTCCCATTGGGATAATCAGACCTTTATAAACCACTCCTTTTAAATATCACACCACTTGACGCCGACCAGTTTACTCCAGGCTACTTTTCCTTGTTATAATTATTATTGTGTAAAATAGTATCTAACTCTTTCGTGTATATTCTCTGCTTTGTAACTCGACGTGTGTCAGTTTCTTGTGAATAAACTCGATTACTGACGGCCCCCTCCCTCCCATTATTTGTCTCCTTTACTTATAATACGAATTTTGTCTAATGGGCCGAACGAAGCGAAATAAAAAACAATCCGCGGACAAATTTACCTTACCCCTATCAGACAAATAAATTTCCTACCCTTTGATTACCAGACGTTATTAAATTAAACGAAAAACGAAATCGAAAAGAACAGTTCTATGACTTTCTATGCATCTCAAATTAAGTCGGCAACTTAACAGTCCACTCCTTACCCTACAAGAAGCTCCTGACTCTGCGGGATACTGATTTGAGGATGCGTTGTCAGTATAACACCAACCAGTCACCACGGGAACTTCCGTTGATCTTACGTCATCATTAACCAATCACCGTACCCGATACCCCTTGGCGGGTGTTTTATCACATTTCCCGATACAAGTTTTCGCGCTCATTTCCTGTAAATCGAGATCTTATCGAACAATTAGTAACTCCGTCGCGCAAATATATATATGTTATTTGCCCGCTGGGAGGTCCGTATAGTGAAAAACTGTGACCGAGGTCTTGAAAATGCAGACAGCATTTTCAAACCCGAGGTCACAGTTTTTCACTATACGGACCGACCCTAACCCGGCAAATAACCTGTTTATTTTTTCCTGCGGTAAATTGGCTTACAAGTGGGTTTGTTTACGCAACTTTGGCATTGAATTGGCTTCGCAAAAAATCTAACAAGCGAACTAGCGAGTAACTCAGATACTAGACAAAAAAAGATGTATTGAAGAACAGATTTATTCCGAATTACTTTATGTCAGTTGCACCTACGTTCACCAGTTAAGTTCTCCAAAATTGTTTTCAGTCCCGGCCGTGTGAAATTTCGTGCAAAGTTTGAAGCTGTATTAGGTCAGTTTGTTTAGATTAGGTTTTCATTCTTTGTAATTACTTTTATAATGACATTTGTAGATATTTTTGCTTGTATACAACTGAGTGGAATTTACCGTGTATAAATAAACTGACCCATCTGAGGATACCGCTGCGTATGTTCCGTAAGAACTGCGGCGGAAGATTGATCGATTGGTAACAATTGAATTAAAATAAGCCATATTAAAATAAGCCATGGTGCCTACCCGGTTCATTCATTTTCTTTTTTTATAAATTATCTACGAAAGGGGCCCAACCCCTCCCAACGATAATATATTTATGTATTCTTCGACTTGAACCTTTTTCGTCCCCCTATCCAATTGGGCTATCGGCCAATTTTTGTGGCAATTTCAAGAAAGTGTTTCCAATTTGCAAGTACATGAACGGGTAAAGCTCTTAGCACCTCTTGGACGTTATCTTGATCTAGAGTTTTGCGATTAGCCAGCCCTAATATATAATTCTTGTATATTACCTTTTATTCTCCCACATCTTACATATTGCCACCTAGTGTGGCATTTTTGCAGAGCCACGGACACTCGTAGATTAGAGAGAGTACAGGAGCGAGGACTTCGTGCTGTTTTAAGAGATAAGTTGTCTAGCTACCAGCAGGTGTTAGAGAAAGCCAATCTACCAAAATTGTATAACAGGAGACTACAAGACATATGTATTTTAATGTATACGGTTTAACTTAATTTGTGCCCGCGGACTATTTGTAACATGTTTTATACTTATAGCCACACTTACAGTTTACGGCAGAGAGATTTTCATTTACCTAGATTTAACACTGTTACATATGGACAACATTCAATTCGATATCTAGGCCCAAGACTATGTGGAGCAAACTGACAAATAAAGAAAGATCGGCGATAAATCTCAAGCAGATCAAGACCCACGTACGGAGGCTAGATCTAAACAACATCCTGGATGCTAGATGGATGTAGTGGCTACCATCTTCGTAACTCATAATTTTAACTGTTTCTCTTATGGGACTTTTCAGTATATTATTTTTAGATAGTTCTAGTTAGGTGTCCCCTATTAGCAGTGGGGATCGATTCTCCTGCTAGATGTAATTGAAACGGTGATAAAGTCATTATTATTATTACTATTATTAGAGATTCCTTTAGGCGAAGATCCAGCGAATCCTGGACATTCTTGTAAACATATATTGGAAAGTGGCTCCTCTGAAGGAGACGGGGAGTACTGGATCGATCCTGAAAACAGTGGAAACCCTTTGAAAGTTTACTGTGACATGACAGCTGATGGAGGTAAATTGACATTGTACGCAGTTTACCACAGACTACCCTCTCACACATGTAAAGGTACAAAACTACAAGGTCCACCAAGTTGCCAATCCTGCTGTGCATGTCGCTTATGGTTGCGCAGTAAAGACAGGTGTTTTCAGCTTTTCCTTCATTATCTTTAATTTCCAGGAGGCTGGATTCTTGGCGATCGCTAACTTTGTTATGGACAGCTCAACTCCTCCCAATAACTGGACCGCCAGCGCTGAAACTTCATACCGCGGAATCAGCAATTATCTCAGTAACGAAATGGGAATCACTTTCAGTGCAATGAATGAACTCGGAGAAGCACGCACTCTCAGATGAGATTCCACTGCAGTAAACAACAGTGACGTACGTTCCATGTGACCACGGCCACTAATAGCACTGGTGAAGCTGTAGTCCAGTACTTCAGCGGCCAGAAGAACAAGTTGCCCTTCTCGTGCAATCTGTTTCAGAAAATGGAAGACGATAACCCTTATAATCAGCCGTGCTGTGTCATCGGTGGGGAAATGACGGCTCACAGTACCCTGGAAAGTGGGGACACTACAACAGACAAGGAGAAGACAGGATGTACAGCTATCCGGCATTTAATACTAAACAGTATCACTGACATATTAGTAAGGGTAAATGGCTTTGCGATGATGGCAGAGATGCTCAATTCGTAGCGATATTGCCAAAGGAGTTTTGGAAAATCTATGAACGCTAACAGTTAAATGAAGATGTAAACGCATAAGTAGAATTATATGTAGTGCTTACCTAGACATTTCATCAAGCTCAGTGCCAAAATGGATTTATCAAAAATTGTTAGAAAACTTACCACCAGTTTAGATAACTAAAAAAAACTTGACTCGTTTCCTACAAGTCTAATATCATTTAAAGAAAAGATGAAAAGCCAAAGGGTAAGAAAGTAAATCCTCCACGTGGGACTTATTTAAAAGGTAATTACCTACTTTTGCATCCTCCACGTCCTCCACGAAAACAGCCACGTGGCAACAGTCTGCAGGAGAACTGGATACCATATCTAATAATACCTTTGGCGGGATTGTCTTGAGAACAAGGATTACATGGGTGATTAACTCCCTAACGGATCATACTCTCTTGGGTCTTATTGTTGTTCAGTGTCGTAACTAAGACAATCGTTTAAGCACGATAAGTATCTGTAAGGGTTAGGGTTACCACCACCACCACCAAAATTCAACGATGAAAACAGCAGTGCCATTTAGTCGCCTTAAAGCATATTTATTCTACTAGCAGTACAACTGATTCAAAAGCGGTCTCTATCGTTTGTGACACAGTTTTTAGAAACACCAAGAGATTAACAAGAGATTATGATCATAATCTCTTGGGGACAACTAAACTTTAACCTGTGTACATGTTACAGCCGCCCTCATCGAAAAATAATCACAATACGTTTTACAGAGCTAGCGAGTCCCGTTTGTGGGATTGTAGCAACAAAAGTTAAATGGTTGTCACTGTATGTGTACGAGTTCGTCTCCGGCTCCCTGTGTCTCCGTTATATTGGACGAGGACAAACCACTAGCGCATATGGGGCAGAGACGCCCAGCCCGAGAAATCAACAGAGATTTTAACAAACTGATCGATGTGATTGCGTCATCACCTTGTCCAAAAAGCACGAAATCCACAGTAAAGAAAAACAAACGAGGACATCGTCGATGCTAAAATTTGCCGATGACTACGCAAGGAATTCCAGTTCTGTGCTGGATTGGTTTGTCAAGAATAAAACAGAGAGGAACTCTTCACAGACTAAAAAATACTACTGTCTACTCAGAAGCCACTAGCACTATTACTTGCCTTACAGAGAGGATCATTAAAAGCCAGAAGACCTTTAAGTGGCCTTTTCTTTTCTATTAAAACTACTGCTCTCCTCGTAGCTGGAGTTTTCAAAAGTTACACAAGGTTACCTGTGTATGTTAAACTAAAAAACAACTATGCTTGTGCATTCACATGTACATGCAAGTGAAAACTACTTCTTTAGCTTGTGCACGACTTCTACCATCTTGATCGACTGAGGAGACTAACGAGGAGGGGTACAGGCATTACAAGATAAAAAGCATTCAAAGAATGTGAGGTCTTCATCGTCACCCCCTAAGTGGTCTCCTAACAAATTCCATTATCTCTAAAATGTACCCTGTCAAAAACACATCTGTTAAATGTATCTTATCTGCGAAAATAACATAAATGATAACAAAACGCTTTTGAGCTTTTCTTTGTAACTACATATTTTACCTTACACTTTAAACTATAACACGGGTGGTACGAACCTAGAGTTTTAACTAAAGGTGTACACCCTGGAAATAAAATGTTTAAACTGACTTTCCTACAGACAGAAATAAGAGGCTCACAATACGAACCTGCCCAGGAAGCAAACAAACCAAATCACATTTTTGCCCAAAACCTATGAGCCAGTTATTAAAATGAAGCCTAGAATGGGTCCGGGATGGGTCCTAGAATGGGTGAATGGGTGCTAAATCAAGGTTTCCACGACAACTCCAAAACCACAGCTTAGTGGGGTCTGAATTGAATTATTTGAATGCAAATGAGCAAGAGTTCACGAAGACCTCGTTTAAACATAATCTGGAAAATGTGGCTTTTGTTTTGGAGTCAGCATGCATCCTACTCCTACGGTCTTGCTATTCTGAAGGGTTGCATAAATAGTGTAGTACAGAGCTGTGTGAAAACATTTTTAAGACATCATATTTGAGTTTTGTAACCGAAAAGAACAAAAGAAACGAAATATTCTTTTACAACCATTCAGATACAGCAAAGCATCTAATCAAAAAATTCAATTCTCTAAAGTAGCCTAAATGCTGGTCAAAGCCATCACATCCTTAACCCAGACTTAATGCCATTTACATAATCGGCTCTATAAATTTACACTACTTATACATCATGAGTTTCAATAATGCTTTGAAAAGTTTATCCTCTCATAAACGTAATTTCCTTCTACTGCATGTTAATAAGTGTTCTTTCTTTACAACTGCACAAATTAAACATCAACAAAGTGCTGCAAACTACTGACAATGAAGCTATAAAATAAAAGTACACTGCAGGCATCACCTAGTAGCAGTGTTTACAGCTGGTTGAAGATGGCTCACACCACCAAAGGAGCCTTATCATGACTCGCCACTCTTTGCTCATGATGCATTGCTTGTCCACGAGCATCTACTGGATATGCTGGCCCGTAAGCACCTGGGTTATAAGCTGGCAACTGAGCACCTGGGGCATAAGCTGCTCCACCAACCTGCATGGATGTATGGGACACCACCACCCCGGGTGCACCCATTGGTTGCTGGGCTATCATCACCATGGGTGGATCCTGTAAGGAACAATGATTTATAGTGAGGGGAAAATGCAATATTTATGCATGATTTAATCTATTTGAAACATTAATAAAAGTTATGGTGGCAGATGAATAGCAAGATCAACCACAGGCAAATTTTTCCCTGCACTCACTGCTGACTGCATTTTCTGAAGTGAATGAGTGGGAAGGGCTAGGGAGGCAGGAAAGAACATTAGCCAGGATGGGACAGATGTAAAATTTAAAAAATTGTCGAATAGTATTTTAAGATTACATTCTGAGCAGTCAGAGGAGTGACATAAAATGTTAGTTTACTCTCCCCTCCCTAGTCAGTCATAATGTATGTCATGTGACTAAGCACACAGAATACAGTAACACACTTGAAGTTGTCAGCCATCTTTGAATGCCTGTTCTTCTGAAAGGAATTTTCAAATCTAACTGAAGCGAACCAAAACCAGTACATGTACATATGGAAGTTTTGAAATATAACCCTCCAAAAGTGTGGTTCAAGAGTGTACGGCAATGTCGAATGCTATTCTGGGTAATGGTGGTTTGTGGTGCTTGATGGAAGCTGAAGTTGTTTAAGGTTGATAGAAGGAAACAATACAAACACATACATAAATTTAAGCTTCTTCCTTATTCTTGTTGCTGACACATTGTGCATATTACTACCCATAATACCAGTAGTAATACTCATCTGCGGGGCAACCTCTGTCAAAACTGCTGTATATCAAGAGCAATAGACCATCTTTCAGTTGTCTGTTCAATGACCTGGCCTTTGAACGGCAGCACAGCTGCAGGTGACCTTGTTTTGATAAACACCTCACTGTTTTTGCTGTGTAAATTAAGTTGTGCTAACTTATGCTAACTAGTTGACATTCAAAAGAAAAAAGCAGAGAGGTCTGTGTAATATATTCGTAACCGGAAGTTGTGTTAAGCTGTTGTATTACCCAAGATGCTTAGAGAATAAAGTTGTTGTGTTGAGCAAGCCTCGTCAACTGG